TAATATCCTCAGTGAAAATAAGACTTTCTTCAGTAATATCATCTTTTCGGTAAATTTCATACCCACTTTCCTAATCGGGCTGTACCGTACCGTCTATGTGGGGGACACCTGTCGATCCATACATAAAAGGTTAACTGAACATAAAACTGCCCGGTAAAACTTGCAGGGGTTGTGCACGTCTTCTTACAAAGTAACCTGATGAACAGAACATTTGAAGAGGGAAGAGTCAGCGATAATTTCGCGTACCGCCTGGAGATTCAGCGACCCAGGGTAACAGTTCGACGACAAGAAGAGACCTCACCAAGGAGCGACTCATGATGGACAAAGAGAAGTCAACAAAAGGCGATCAAAGTGACAAAAGTCAGACCTGGGATCGGCCAAAAATTTAACCCCCGGGGCGTCTACACATGAGACGTAGGTTATGAAATTAAAAGCTAAAGTTATAGGCGGGCCAGATATAGGTCACACATGAATATCATCCTAGTACCCTGTGATTAGATGGGAATGTCAGCTTGAGGGGTGTGAGGAATGTGCTTCTCGTGATTCAAAGGGAAAAAAGGAAAGCGATGCATCTACACACCTGCGGTTATGACGTAAGCTGTGCATGGGGCCGAAAAGAATGTGGCACAATGTGATTGGGGAAGAGGAAGAGGATAATCGAATCATGGGCTTAAAACTCGGGAGCGGAAGATTTCCAGACATTGGCATGGACATGGGCATCAACTGCTTTAAATTCTCCATTATGGCGTATTCGGAGACGGGAATTGAAGGCTTTTATGCAGCCGGACAGTGATTTTGATGTTTAGCACTGACCAATTAGCAAGCGGGGAAGGAGAAAGGGGGCAGATTCTAGGTCAGGAGCCATAAAAACGGTACCTAGTGCAGGTCGTGGAGATAATTACGTTTCACTAAACCCACTTGTGGCGACACACTCCTAAACGACCTTGGTGGAAATGAGAGCACAAAACTGTGTGAATATGTGGAAGTGCCATATGAAGTGGGATTGAGAGAAAGACGTGCAGCAATAGCAGGTAGAAGGAAAGATACGGGTGATGAGTGATGCCAAGGCGATTGAACAGAAAGATAATTAAGAGGATTGCCTTTACTCGATACCTTGACAAGTTGCAATTTCGTGCTAACTATGGCGCCTCCCACTGACGATGTCGACGAAACGTTTAGGAATGTACCATGTCAATGGCCTGAAGATAGAAATCACGACTACTATGGCAAATGACACAGGACTAGGTACGTTCCACATGGTCTTCCTGACGCTGCGACCAAGTTTAAAAACAAGATCGAACCAACACTATATGGCTAAGGGAGACTACGAATAAGCAGAAGGCCACACCATCTTGGTATTCATATCTACGAACATAAAACGTCCTGCAAACGTTTCCTGGTCCCAAAGTTAGAATTGGCCGAATACAGCCCTAATAGACTGGTCTAATGCTTATCTGGATAGAAAGACTATACCAGTAAGCGGAAAATTAGCAAAACAGCCAATACCCTGAATAGAAAGAATGATTGTGGGTAATTAAGTGAAAACCATCTGTGGCCGTTAGAAAGGATTAAAGGGGGGAAACAATAAGTACGGCCGAGCAAGAGGAGGCTCGGTTAGCAACAAATCCGGTTTTCAATCGAAAGCCCCACTTGCCTCATGAGAATTGCATGCACCCGACATGTGCAATGGAACGCAATCGCATGCGGCACCATTGCAGGATCAAACAAATAATGTATTGTAGTGCGGGATGCAGCTGTTCAGCCACAATTGCATCCATTTCACGCTTTAATTTCAGCCACTTCACGTCATTAGCAACCACTTCACTTTTCAACACCATGTCGGAAATGCATATGAGATCTAACCAAATCGTGAAACGTTTCACTAAATGGACCTGGCCAAAGTATAAGAAGTGGGAAGGACTGCAGACAGCCAGCTTTTTTGTCTTTGTGCTTGGTAAATCATCGTAAATCATGGTGTCCTGCCCTGACGATGCCAGTCGCATGACGGACGAATGCTCAGCAAGGAATGATCTTAGTGGCTGGGAGGTGCCTCAGGGACATGTTTGAACAGATCTATAATCACAATCACAATACAGCTTCATGTAAGACCAACTTTCGGATGTTTTCCACTGGCGTATTCAGACCTGATACTCCAAAATGAATTCATTAAGGGATTCTTCGAAAACTAATTTTTCTATATATCAATTATTATCTCGTGATAGAAACTTGCCGGCTGATGATCAGTATAATCGGTAGGGCCATCAAAAGAGCCTTGGTTTTCTGACACATTTGAATGACTATTCAGCTGATGGGGCTGAAGCTGGGGTGGGTACTCAAACGATGATGATATTTCAGATGACGTATTCATGACTAGATTGGATGTTATAGATCTTATACCAGAAGAGAACGATGGTAACACATCGGCTCTGTGATTGATTCTTCCTGATATAAATCCTGATTGTATTGACTGCGTGGGTCCATCTATCCTGGAAATATTACTTTCGGGACAAACGAGCCTGCTAGAGTTAGGAGATTCCGAGGGTGTATTTGCAGACTGCGTGTCGGCTCCTAAGGCACCGTACCAGGAAGTTGTGATTGTTGGAGAAATATTTTGCACAGTAGAGGAGCAGGAAGCAGAGGTGGATCTCATGGGACCAGTCAAGTCATAAGCGATTTCTGAACGCGTAGCATAATCGTTGGAGAGAAGTGCTGCTGAATACAACGAAGCATCACGATCTCGAGTATGGGCAGTATCTAAGTCAGAGAAATGGACAATAAGTGAAATTCATTTATATATTGTAAAACAAATAAATGAAAACAAGTATTTACTCAAGCAATAAGTAGATAATTGATCCTACCAAAAGCTGTAAGGCTTAAATAAATTTATTTTTCGCAT